AACATTAATGACAAGGAACAAAGCTCTGGTCAGAAGCATTTTTTATAAAAAGCTTTAACAAAATTAAGTATTTCTGTACATTTTGAATGCAATCTAACTTCCAACTCAGAAAACAAAAAGTGCCAAAAGTCTTCTCACATGGCTGAGCTGCTTTGCAATATACTTCACCACTGAAGAATACAATATGTATAAAGTAAACTATGATGCAATCTAACTTTCCAACTCAGAAAAATGATAAAGAGCATGAACAAAGAACATGTAAAAACAAATGCAAAATTTGCACAATCTAAAATGAGAAACTGTAACTGCAAGTAACAAAGTCTGAGCCATGGTAAAGAGTTACATTGAACACCAAGCTGATCAGATATCCCTGGTTGGTCTGAAGTCCTTCTATCTCCAGGATCTGTACAAATCGGCACATTATGCCAAAAGTCTTCTCACTGGGTGAGCTGCTTTGCAATATACTTCACATTGTTAGAAAAGGCTCCAGAAGGCCTTGGGGACATCAGTATCAGGGGCTGGAGCTGGACAGGCTCTTCATCAGCACTTCTCCTTCCCTTTGCCAGCCAGGACCTCACATACTGTTCCGGATTGAACTGTCCTAGTGATGGTCCATTACATTTAATGAAAAACCAGGCTGGACAGTCGGCTGACAGAGAGAGCATTCCTTTTTGCAGTAAGGATATCGTTCATGCAGCTGAATGCCCGCTCACACTCACTAGTGGAGACAGCGATGGTTCGGACTGCTTTCAGTAGAGGGCTCCATGGCAGCAGGTGTACGGGATGCCCTGGTTTCCTTGTATTCGCGAAAGCACTGAACAGTCTCTCTTTGTCCACTTTCAGCACTTCGCACAAACGTAGCACCTCTACGTCCCCATACTGTACGTCTAACTCCTCTTCAGGCCAAACTCAGGATGGATAACTTCATGTCCTGGATTAGCTGATTGTCCCGGGCCTCCCGGCCATGTAATGGGATTTCTCTTGTGCTGACATGAGAGGAGGTTGTGGAAGTCATTCTGTGTCTCAGATTCTCTACCATACTGCGGAAAACTGACCTGCATGAATCTGTATAAGCCTGCCATTCTCACGCAGGGCAACACCCTTGAAGGACTTCTCAGCTAGAGCTGTATGAACTGTAGTCATGTGTGGGCCAGGCATGGTGACCATGGATTCAAAACTCGTATTTCTCGAGTTAAGAGCCTATCTGCTGTAGGCAGTGTCATCTCTCTTTTTGGAGTTGCCGAGAGAGGTCGCTGAGCTCTGTGAGCGCATCGTACATCAGTCCAGATTGCTGACAAACGTTGCAGATGTGAGCACATCATCCAGGCCCTTGTACTTTGCTCTGTCTCTGGAATCCCTGCTCGTGTCGTTTGCAGCATTTGTGAAGTGATCATGAAGCACTCGGTAGTTTTCCCAGACTGCTCTGACGCTCCTTTCACTTGAAGCCACCCAGCGGATGGACAAAACACGCCCTATCACCAGGAGACGCTGTCCGACTGCTTGCGCACACTGCGCTAACTGCCTCTGATTTTTGGGGGAGGCATGGAACAAGGAATAGAGTTTGTCAAAAAAGATCTGGAAATGATTGAGCCCTGAGACCTCCTTGACCACATCCCAACTGCCAGCTCTAGACGATGATTGGAGCAGTGCCACACAAACAGGCTTGGGAATTACTACACAACTGGGTAGCAACGCCTGTTCTCTTCCCTAGCATGACTGAAGCCCCATCACATGCAAAAGAAACGAAACACTGACCTAAAAAGTCCTCGTTAAAATCTCTTCCAAGACACTCCATTAACGCCTTTGTGATGTCATCAGCCGTTGTTCCATCCAACTCGATCAGCTCCCAAAAAAAACGTTTCGGGCTCAGCATCAGCTAATGCTGAGCGTAGACACACAACAAGCACAGTTTTACCACTAATAGTGGTAGATTCATCGACCAAAACACAGAGTTTTCTTTGGTTTTCTGTAATGTCTTTTGCCATTTTTTTCTTCAGCTCATGAGCTATGTGGTCGATGATTTCGCCACAGGTTTTATTGGAGTGCAAAACCCTGCCCACGTTCAGCCCATTCAGTTTCTGTACATTCAAATCAATTGGCATGTCTGTGAATGGCCGGCTATGTTTGCCAATTTTATATGCCGTTCGAAAAACTCTGATAGTGGTGTCTAATTCAGATTTATGCATAGACTGCACTTGATGTTGAATAGTTTCACGTGAAGCAGATGTAAGGATGTCAGCAGCTTTTACATGGGCTTGTGATTCTTTATGTTCTTTGATTTTTTTTCTCAGGCTAGCTTGTTGTTTGCCCTTGTCAACACCGAAATGAGACACTGCACACTCACCCCATTCAGTTGACAGTTTCAGTCCTTGTCCAGTGTGTATTCCCAAAATTTGACATCTTGCATATCCGACATCCAAGCTTCTTATCTTTAAGAAGGAGCCATGCATTGGTCTTGCAAAAATATTGCACCTGGTCCGTTGTCCAGCAGTCAGGTGCATCGCTTTGCCCGGTGTTGGTGGTGGCAGTTGCGCCAGCAGCAGCTAACGTTAAGGCTAGAGGCTCGGAGGCGAGAGCGGCGGAGCTAGTGCTAATGCTAATGCACTAGAACTTGGAGCAGGAGGATCAACCAAAGAAAGCTCCCCATCAGACACAATTTCCAACACAGGCACAGTATTCTCTGTATTTGAAGTTTCTTCCGGCGACAACCGCTGTCTTTTTGCACTTTTATTAATCCACCCTAACATTTTAGAAATGCTAATTTGTGACGTGACTTGCTTTCCTTCTCTCGGGGGCGTGCCTGCTCTGTTCTATCACTCTACATAGCCACCCACTGGGTGGGAGTTGCACTGCATAAACACACACACGTGCATCTAGGTATGTAAATTGTAAAGCATTAAAACATGGTTTTACTAACAGTTTTCAGTATGTTGTTACTTCGGCATTATTATTATATTATTATTTTGAAACGTGTATTACTATTAAATCACGGTCAAATAGGTTAATTTTGACATAGTCGTTTCCACCACAGTATTACATGGAGAAGATAAGCCCCGCCCCCTCTCCAGCACGTTGACAGGAGTAAACAGCTGACAGCCGCTGTGAAACTCCAGCGGTTAGAGCGATGAGAATGTCCGTTCGGCACCTCATGACGCATCTACTGAGTACCGGGCGGCTGTTATATATATATATGGATGTATAATAAGAACGGCGGGAGAGTGTTGAGTACTGGCACGGTGCATGAGTACCGGAGTACCGCCAGCATGCCGGTACTGAGCAAGAAGTGCCGGTACTCCATGGGTCAGAACCAGAAGTGCCGGTACTGCGTACCGGTGAGTACCGGCCCAATTCCAGCACTGCCAGTAAGTACGGCTTATTTGGACTGCCTGACCCGATCCATGGCCGATCCATGGCCGATTCAACATGTTGAATCGGCCATGGATCGGGTCTGGCAGTCGGACCAAACAATCACTCTGATTGGCTGTTCAGCTAGCGAATCAGTGCATGAGAAGCGATACGGAAGTGAGGGACGTAAACAAACGATTTAAGAAGAAGGCACACACAGACTGCTATTCATATTTAAATATAGCAACATCTTTAGCTTGCATACCTGTTGCCAAAAATCGCAGCGTAACCATCAGACGTGTCCCCACGGAGATGCAATCCGGGTAGTTGGTGTTTTCCCTCTGGGTGATTGGAGTGATGAGTTCCTCCAACGTGTGGAACTGCACAGGAAAAAGCCGAGCGAAATTTCTGAAATCTGGCACTTCATTGAATTCCAGCTCTCGACACAGGTTCGGGGAAGCACCGTGAGCTTCTCGCTGTAGTATCCA